ATTTAATTTGCTGATTTGGCTTACTATATTCTAATGATGATAATTTGCTATTATGATAACCCAATTATAGTCATGCCAATTTTATTTGAAAAACTTTGCCGATTTGGGGTTATTGTAAGCCTGCCCCCCAGTTGGCATCATGTTCCGAGGCCCAAAAGCTCCGAGGGCGGAAAACGCAACCGCGTTGAAAAATTGAGAATGAAGTCTTTGGAGTGGATAGCCTCTGAACAAGGAGAATTCTAGGAGAAGTATGGGAAAATGATTATAATGGGATGATTATTTATGATTTTCTTTTTAGTAATCTAACAGCCAGCTATGGAAACCATGACCTGTTTGTAGTTTCTCTCGCTTCACGATATGGCATGAAGACTTGAAATCTTTGGAATTTTAGCCAAATTTTAGCTTCGGCATCAGCAGGGAATCTTTCAATATTTTGCCACCTTTGGCATCGACTTTTTTAGCCAATAAAGGCCGGTGAAGCATTTTGTGATGTGATCAAAGTCATTTTTTGGGTACCTTTTACCTTTGTGTGGCCGGTTGCTGGCCTTGTCTTCCTTTTTTGAGCCGAAAGAAAATCTGACAAGCTGGTTTTGGCATGTTTTGGCATCCCATGCTGAGCCACTTCGGCTCAAACATCTGGAAGCTTTGAAATTTCCAGGCGGGCCCTATGAGGGGATGGTCTATAAAACGAAGTCGTGAAAGCTGGTGATTGCACCCTCCCAACGATTTTCCATTGTGGTTATGGGCAAAACCTGAAACCCGACATGTTTGGTGGGGCCGACATCCACTTCCAAACAATTTTGAAGTTTACCCGCGATAATGATCAATAAAAGGTTTTGACTCATCCCTGTACATTGGTATATCGATCGAGTCATGATTCAACCGTGTCAACCCAGAAAGTGATTGTTTAATTATAGCTAATATTAACCCCCCCAAAAGATAGAACCGTAATTAATCACTATTTTAGTGGGATTTTACATGATTTTACATGATTTTACTGTTTATTTTTTTTGGGTTGCTATATGTTGCTATAATTTAATAAAGATGACCCGCGTAGTCTTGTGTCCATTGATATCCCCCTTCCCAGACTTGAAGGCCCGATATTTTTTGGGGGCAAAAGCAGTTTCAACAATGGCTCTATCCCATTATGTGCCCATAACAATTGGTGAAATTGCCAGTGACCAAAACCATGATCTATATATTTTATATCATATGTATGTATAAAAATAAATAGTACTAGTACTATAATGTTTGATTTATTTTATTTGATAAATCACATATGATATATAATGTATGTTTTAACTTATTATATATTTTAAATTATATTTTATCTATTATATATTGTAATTTGTATACAACATATTACATATCATATATCATATATCATAGAGCAAAAAATATTATATATGATATCTATTATATTACGATATATATATATATATTATGTAATGTATATATATATATATATTATATTAAATACTATGTATTATATATTACACATTATGTTTTAAAATATTATATATTATATATTATATATTATAGATTAACAAATATATATTGTGTACTATATATTATTTACTATATATTATATATTATATATTTTATATTTTAACTTTATATTATGTATTATTTATTATACATTATATATTATATTGTAAATGATATATTATATACTGTATATATTATATATTAAAATTTTAGATTATATAATATATTTAAATTATATACTGTATATTATATTATATATTATATATTATATATTATATATTATATATCATTTATCATATAATATATAATATATTAAATATATAATATATAATATAGTATATAATATATACTATAGTATATATATATATTACATTTTTTTTATATATTTAATAGAATATACGGTGTATTATATATTAACTATTACATATTATATTTTAAATTGTTTCTTTTTTCAAATATTTTATACTATATATTTTGTTTAAATATATTTTATATTTTATATTTATATTATATATTGTATATTTTAAATTATATTTTGTATATTACATATTACATATTAATTATCATATACTTTATATTATATACTATATTATATATATATTTTGATTATTATATATGATATGTTATATATATTATATATCATATATTATTTATTATTTATTATATTATAATTATTATAGATTTTTTTTATTTATTATATATCATATGATTTAGATTATATTATTTTTCATATATATTATATATTATTTATTATATATCATGTATTGTATATTATAATTTGTATTATATCATCTATCTATGTTTTTTATTGTTTATTATTATTATTATTATTTTACGTTATATATATTTATATGCGTCCCTATTATATATATATATACATATACACATATTGTACACGATCATCATGTTTAACATATCATGTCAAAGATGATACTTTACTATAGCATCATGGTAGATTCATATTATGTCCATATGTTTGACATGAGAATTTGCTGTCGCATTACATCAGGTACTTCCCATACTTCCCATCTCCCGGCAGGATTCTCCAGCATGGGCGAGTCGTTGTCACGGCTCGGGGGTCTCGGTTTCCGATTGGCCAACAAAAAACACCTGGCGAGGGCAGATGAAAACGCAGGGTTTTAACATGGGAGAACACGAACAGCTACAAAACTCAAATGATTCATGTTTATTGATGGTATATGATAGTTGATCATGGTTTGTCATGGTTTGTCATGATTTGTCATACATTTCCACATCAAAACTTAAAACCACCCAAGGGGTTGTCACGTTTTATCATAATTTTCCATCATGAATCCCAAAAACAGCGGCCATTACCATGGGTTTTAGTCTGTAGTAGTTTTTTTCAGAACAACGCCATTCATATCCCCACTTCCAGTTGAATCCCAGTAAATTCACAGTCAAATCAGTTACATCATCCATATTAAATCAACCATCATGAATGAACATTTTCGTATCATTTTCCCATGATTTTCTGAACATTTCCATACATTTCCCCTAGCTTCGCCTGGGCCGCTTTAGCTTCGAAAAAACCACGCAAGCGGCAGCTCTGTGAGGTCAATTCAGTCCTGCTATGACCCGGAAGGCACTGCAGCGATCATCAGGAAGAAGAAGGCGGAACTTTGACTCAGAGGGTCGCCTCGGAAGATTTGCTCCCGGATTTTCTGTTTAACCCAAAGTGGGCATTTTTTTGCAGGACACCCATGGCGTTTTTCAACTAGAGAAATACTGTGATTTTTTCTGGGACTGATCAAAGATGATCAAAGATGGGGGATTTCAATATTCGGAATGCTGCATTTTCTTCCCATGAAAAATGGAAACATCTCCTCCTATGAACAACGGCCAGGCGCAGCGCGCAGCCTTGAACCAATACGACGAGCTGCTGAAGCGGGTCGCAGATCGGGATCCCTCTGCGGTGCAAGAGGCGGCGGCATCGGCATCGGCTGTGGCGAAAACCTCCAGAGGATGAAACATGGGTAGGAGATGGTAAAACATGATGAATGAATATGAATGATCATTGAATATGATCATGATTTGTATGATATTAGCATTGATATGCTGCATATGCTCTTTTTGACTGACTGACTTGTATGGCATTTGATGGCCATTTTCGATAGACTTCGATGGGAACCGGTGGCAACATCTCCACCTCAGTCGACATCATCATGGTTCATCCCATCCCTCGAGTAAAAAGCCCACCTTTAGTGCTCCCCAAAATACAGAGATGGAAATACAAGATCTTTCGGGTTTCGTGGACGGAGGGCACTTGATTCACTTGATATTTCATCTTTCAATTTTTTGAGGGGATGAGATTTATTTCATGTTATTGCATGTTTTCGAGAGAATTACATTTTCTCCAGTCGTTTTTAGGCTTCCTGTCCCGCTTGAGGTCTTGCAGTTTGATCAAGAGAACAAGCTCAAGGCACCTGTGGAGCAATCGAGGGTTTTGGATCGGCCTGGCCCGATCTACGGTCTTGAAAACATCAAAGGGTATAGTGAAGCATGCGATTTGTGTATTTTTGGGGCATTAGAAGTTAGAGTTTATTCATATGATACGACGTTAATACATGTTACGTGAAAAAAGTCAACAGTTTTTTTTGGCGGCCACATCTAGCAGATTCTTGCCAGATTCTTGCAGACTCTCTGCCAGGGACAAGGTGAGTTCAAGGGCAAATTCTGGATCGAACTGCAACAACACGATGACTGGCCGCGGGCTGAAGGGATACTGAGCAGTGGAGCTGCTGGGAAGTGATTTTACAGTAGCAGAAGTATCGGAGTATCATTACTGTATATGGATGTATAATGAATGTATACCCTCTGGTAAATTAACATAGACCCTGGCAGTCATCGGGGTTGGAAGATTAGTTTCCATTAAAAATTGGTGATTTTCAGGGTCTATGTTTATTTACCAGAGGGTAATGATGTATTTCAGGAATATCATTACTGAACATATTAAAACATATGAACATGAACATCATATGACGGGTGCAACATGGTGCAACCTAAGGCACCCTGAAATACTGCTAGGATATGGTAGGATGGTTAAGCCGATTAAGCCATGCAGCCCTAAGGCCAAAGGTCTTGGAGAAGCGTTCCTCGTTGGGTGTGCCACCCCCACAATGAGTGGCCGCAGGTTTCACAATCGATGGTGAAGCTAAAGTCACCGGAAGCAAAACATGGGCTGTTGGGTTCAGTTTTTCAGTTTTCGATGTTTCGCGTTTTTGCAAGAGCAGATTTTCGTGAGAGCTTTCTTGATATGGTTCGTTTTGAGTGTAATTCCATTCACAGCTGACAAAAAAAAGCTCCAGTTGTGGGCTGACAAATCGACACAAAAAATCCACCGCGCAGCAGGGTCTCACCCTGCGAAGTTGCGGCAGTTGCGTTTTTCAGTTTCTCAGAATCAGATCGCAGGTGCGGTGGCCCTGGCGACATTTTCCAATATCCAAATGATCTACCTGGCCATTCTAGGAACCCAAATTGGAGGTATATACTAAAGTACCTATCATGTGGCCTTATTAATATGGTACTAAGTTAGTACCTCCATTTTAGGATCCTGGGTTTTTCCAGGATCCAAATGAGCTCAAATCAATTCCAAATCTATAAGAACTGCCGCAGTTGCATGGCGCCTGCCAAAGAGCATCGCCGAAGCGAAAAGAAACGACGCGGCTCGACGGGGAACCGGTTGTCGAACATCGAACTTAACGACCTCCAAAATAGGGCTTCCATGATGTTCCATGAAGCTTTAATATGTAAGCTTTACACGAAGCATCATGAACGTTGAAACATGTTCAAACGCAAACAAGACTTCAGACTGTCAGACCAATCATTTTTGCCAGATGTGCGCATAGAGGTCGCACATCGCACGTGGTGAGCGCAGCCGCTTTGAAAAAACTCAGGGTCCGTGTGGCAGCTCTCTGTTACCAAGGCAACGGGGTCTGCGGGTCTGCGTCAATGGGATATCCAGCACTGGGAATCGATAGGCACTAATTACATATTTAAGTTTAGGCAAAAACCAGTCTAAAGATTGGACAGTTAAGATAGAATCTGAAACTGTGCACGAAATGGTTGAGTGTATTCGGATCGTCCTCTTTGTGGCTCTCTCCATTCTACAATGCTCTACAAGATCCGGGTTTGTTTGAACATATTAGTATGCCACCCCGCAATCTCATGTTGGATCGTCATTTGGTCCGATTAAAAGGATCATTATGATCATGAATTGGGCGAATATGCCTAATTTTCAGGTAACTAAACCCATATCATATTGGACATACTATATATTCCCTTAGTGTCCATTAGTCCTTAATAGGACCGTTGATATCCATTCATTCATCCCATGAATCTGGTTCAGCTTGTCTCTCCCATTGATTCCCCTTTTTCGTTTCTTCAGTCGTGGCACCAGGAAAGTCATGGCACGCCCCATCCTCATGCCCGTGGCAACTCGGATGGGTATGGGCTGTTGTCATCACCATGACGGCTGCCTAGGTATCCAAGGTGAGGCTGCCTAGGCAACAAAAACCATAGGAACATGATGGTTGAACGAGGTTAGAAAAACTAGGGATGTCAAGTTGGGAAACTTGTAGCTGATTTATGCTGATTTATTTAATAGTTGAGGCACAGTTCACTTCGGATAACCCTTGGGTTGAGGGGAATATAACTCTCAATGGGTTTATAATCCAAGTTATGACCGGGGGGTCTCGCCTTGTATGCGGATTTAAGGGGAATACAAGAGGCTGCATCAAAATCTGTAGTCTTCCATAATCTCCTGGGGATGATTCACCATATATTCACCATGAAAACCAGACATTTTTGTATGTGAACAAAAGGGTACTACCGGGTTATATTCCGCCATCAAGATCATCAAGTTTCGCAACCTATTTTTGTGCTGATTCAACCATGTTCAAAACCTACGTAATTTCCTAGGGAAACGGGCCTTTTTTACCAGTTAACTCAGCATTTTCTTGTGAAAAAAGCGGTGCAATGTTCGTTCCAAGGCCTTGTGCCTTGCGGTGGCTGCACTGCTGCGATCCAGCTGCTTCGTGCAGGTGTGTGGTGATGGTGAAGCCCAGTTCCCAACTGGTTTACCTCATTTCCAACTGGTTGGTGGTTTGGGTTTTGGATGTTTTTTTAAATATTTTTCATGAAACAGCCAACATTTTGTCGGTTGGTGAATTGTCCATGGAATTATCCACTGGTTGGTGGTGACTGGAACCACTGGAACCATGGGAAAACTTGAATGACTATCCCATGACTATCCCATCATATTGGGAATCTCCATGATCCCAACTGACGAACTCTGACGAACTCATATTTTTCAGAGGGGTAGGCTCAACCACCAAGCAGGTTATTATTAACCATGATTAACCATCAAAAAAACCATATTAAATAACCATGAATATTAACAGTATATGACCAACCAATGGTAGGTCAACCACCAAGCAGTTACCCAATTTCCTACCCAATTTCCATATGGAAATTTGCCAAGCAACGGGACAGCATTTGGGGCCCGCTACACTGCTGGGATGGTGGGATGGTGACAGCGCTGTATCATTTACCAATTGATTTTTCAACAGTTTATCATTTACCAATTGAAGATAATCATTCAACTATCATCTGGGATGATGTGTTTCAACAGCTTTTGTTCTCTGGGATTCCTATGCCGTTTTATGTAGACACTCAGGCGCCTGCTCGCACCTTGGAGGCCGAAAGGACGTACATGTCAGTGACCGAAACGTTTTATGTCGAGAATTCATTGACCTTAAAAATCAGTAGCCTCTGGTTATGACTAAAATAGCCATTGAAAATGGCCCAGTTGAAATAGTGAGTTTTCCCATGAAAAATGGTGATTTTTCATAGTTATGTTAGTTTACCAGAGGGTAAACCATAATTCCAGAGAATTTGTGAGATCTATATTTGTACTTAGTCCAATCCGAATGCCAACAGTTTGTAAGAACATGTAAGAACCATCCGACTCTTTTTTCCAACTTGCGGGTCATTTTTTAGCAGAGGATAGCATACCTAAGGCCAAGTTCGCTAAACACGAAAGGGCGATATCCCCTATTGGTGAGTTGCGACTAGGTAGCAGTGTCAAAAAGAGTTGCCCATTTGCCGCTAATGATTAATTTTGCTCTTTCAACTAGCAAAAAAGTAAATAGAACTGGATTGAATCGGCCCAATATATCAAATTGAGGATGTTATTGGGGACATGTACCCAGTTATTGGATATCAATTCAACAACCATATGTATATATACCATTATATACCTGGAAAGCCATAAAGACTCAACATTTTCTGCCACGGGTTTGGACATTTTTTTAACGTTCGTTACGTTTTTTTCCAAATACGGCCATGTCCGGCTGCAAACCCTCTACTTACAGGTCAATAGTTTTTCTGAAATCTTTGATTTGTCGGACTGGTTCCGACAGTGTGAGTGTCTCGTCTAGAGACCGTATTTGGGGCAGTGACATCTGCTTATTGTTTTTTTTTCAACATGATGTTGAAAAAAAGTAGTATTTTATGGGTACATCCAAATTCGGTGGGAACAATGACAGTATTTGCGGCCAGATTTTGGGTACCCTATCACGACTCCCAATTTGCTCCATTTCGGGCTGAATTTCCTCTTTTGGAGACTGTCGGAGGATGTCCGCACCCGGTGCTGTCAAAGGATTTGAACAAGCATTCACAATCAAAAACCAGCATAAGCAATTGAACAAAAAAAAGGTTCGTTACGGGTAAAACCCATAATGGACAAAAGACATGTCCGGGCGGTTTTCCAGATATATATATATTTATATTATATATATATTATATATATATATATTACATTATATATATATATACATGTAATAGTCAAATAATTCCTTAAATATCCCCAGCATATCAATCCATATCCCACCAGTGTCTTTTACTCACAAGCTCGACCTTCAGACGCAGCAGCTGCGGGCCTTGGAAACCGCGACTTTGTCCACAGGGCTTTCCATGGCAGGAACGGTGTTTTATGGTGAGTTGATGGTGATTTTTTGAGGTTTTTTGATGGTGATTATATGGGAAAAATGAAATTTGTATGAATATCATTATATATTGATTGAATATTTATATGAATACACATATATCAATACATAATTATTGATTGAATATTTGAATATTGATTACATACCATTATATGAATATATATATACATAATTATGTATGTATATGATGGTAATGCTCGTAATTGGGCTACTACTTCCCCTGCTGCTATTGTTTCTTTGGGTGCGTAACATATAGCCCCGCCCTCACTTCGCCCCTTGGGATTTCTCACCCTTTGGTTGACCGGCATGATTCAAGCCTCGTTTCACTAAGGAACAAGGTTTCACTTAGGTCTCTTTGTCCTTAGCCGGTGTTCCTCATCTGGATCTGGCTTAGCTACGATGGGGGCATAACTAGTTCGATGATTTGCCTTTAAGAAATGGTGTTGTTTTTCCATAGCGCATGGAAAAAAAAATCACCGGTATATCAACCATTCCCATAAGATATCCCACTACAGTATATCCCATGAAAAAACACAATTGTTGTTGATTTATTCCCAATCTTTCTTGCTTAAACCACCAGAGGGTAGACGTATTTTTCTTAAAAAGTTGGTAGTCGATGAGGCTGAAGAGCCTGATGAAATACCTCAGTTGCACATGGAATTTCCACATGATGAATATTGGAAATGGAAAGGTAAGATCATCCGCATTCATGTCCCATGAAATCCCCAACCTTTCCAAAATGTGTCATGGTTCAATCACTCATCTAGCAATGAAACCATGCTATAGACCATATCATATGAACATCCCGCATTGGGCGTAGATCCCACATTTCAAAGAACACCGCATATCGTATTATTGTTGATATCCCATGATTTCCTCATATTTCCTCATAACATATGTTTAAATCACCATAGTTTTCATGGTGAATTTCCTTTTATTCTGATTAGATAACAATCTTTTAATGGTGAGGTCCACTTTTTCCATACTTAAGCCACCATGTCTGATGGTGAAATCCAAATGTTAAAACCAGCATGTTTCATGGTCAAATATCTGATTTTCTCATGATGAAATCACCTTTTTTCCATGGTCAACGACCACTTTTTTCATGGCGAAATCAGAGGTAACTTTCCAATTTTTTCCATGTCAAATCACCTAAATCACCCATGGTTTTTCATATTTAAATGCATTAAACCACCATAAACCGCGATTTTTCCATGGTGAAGTCCCCCATTTCTTTCCTCTGCGAGGAGCTCTGCCAGCCTTCGCCACCTGGGGCGAGGGGTCGGAACCAGGGCAGAACATCGACCCGGCCCGGGGGCCCAGCCAGCCGCGGCCCAGGGCCGATCGGTTTACAGCGCCGGGGATGTCACCAGAAATGGATTGGTTGGGAAAATCTGAACCGGAAACCCATGGGTTTTACATGTTTTTACCATGAAATATAGGGCAAACATCTGTAGATTTTCCCGAAAAAAACCAATCCAATGTCACCAGAAATCTGAGAGTTCACCGACTGGAAAAGTGGGATTTCACCATGGATTTGGACCGATTTTACAACTCGGGATTTTTTCAGAAAATGAGTGAAACATTGGGGTGAAACTGTGGGATCCATGATCCCATGGTCACTGGGTCATGATGGTGTTTTGTCTAGCGGAATCATCCCCTTTTTGAAGAAGCCAACATTTTGTCGGTTGGTGAATTATCCATGGAATTATCCACTGGTTGGTGGTGACTGGAACCACTGGAACCACTGGAATTTATTTTATGACTATCCCATGATAATTGTCCATCATATTGGGAAATTCATGATCCCAACTGACGAACTCAGTTCATCATATTTTTCAGAGGGGTAGGTCAACCACCAACCAGGTTATTAACCATCATTAACCATCATTAACCATATAATAACCATATATAAACAGTATATTACCTACCAATGGTAGGTCAACCACCAACCAGATGAGAAACCACTGGACTTGGTCATAAGGATCATTGTCCAGGGTCATGGTGGTAGATCACTTAGAGGCGACGATTTTTTTGGCGGCAACGTTGGACACGAAAGCGCACGAATTAGTTTTCCAGAAGCAACGGATGATAATCATGTTTTCCACTGATACTGCATTTCTTGGGTGTGTTTTCCCTAAAAACACGATTTTTGGACACACCCAGCCGTGATTCACTGGTAAGTAATGTAATATATATATATATGTAAAATCCATGTTTTCAATGGCTAAATATTATTTTGGTTGGTTAAATCCACATTTTTGATGAGGCCCAAATTTTGAAGACGCCGGCAGGATTCCACTGAGTACTACAACCGTAAGGCAGGAGCTGATTTGGTGGGTTCGAGCATCAGTCGCCATTTTTCTACCAACAAATATGGGGATATGTGTATACACATATATACTGTATATATATATGTATATATGTATATATATATATATATGTAGATATATGTGTATATATATATATATATACATATGTATATATATATATATTCACATCAAAATATTGTGTATATATATATAAGCCAGAGATTTCTTGCTGGTTTCAAGATGTTTAGAATTGATTCATGTTCCCAATTCATAGGGATAATGATTCCCGCACCAAGAATGGTGAACAAACACCACGGGAATGGAGATGGGTTGATGGGTATATTGATGGACATAGCGGGGACCACATGCACGGGTCAATGCGGCGGATGTCAACCGGATGAATACACCAGATAGGATTAAAGATAGGATTCCCTGTCAACACACATATGGAGATTTCCTGAAATGGGGGTACCCCCAAATCATCCATAGGTCCATAGATTCGGTTTTTCTGAAAATAAACCATCCATTTTTTTTTGGTACCCCCATTTATGGAACCCCCCATATGTATTTTTTTTTACACAACATATTCGGGTTCTGTGACAGTCAGTTCCAATGACTTGATGATGTCCCAGGTTGACGTTTGGCTGAAAATCGGGGATTGACCCCTAAACAGTTCAGTTTACCCGGCCTGGTAAATGTACAAAAAACTATTGAAAATGGCCCAGTCGAAATAGTGGATTTACCCATGGCATGGTGATTTTCCATAGTTTTTTTGTATGTTTACCAGAGGGAGCTATTTTTTTAGCAGAATATTATGATCATAAACATAAACATAAACCAATTTGGACGCCCAATGGGCTTCCCATTCTGAAGGACAATCCTGTGATTTTTGAGGCATCGGGTCTCCCACTTACTGTTAGGATTCAGTTCCAGTTATAATTGGATATAATATGATATAATAAGATCATATAACTTTAATATAACCATAACTCCAGGGCCATATCACATCTTACAGGGGTAAAAAAAAAACATGGACATAGCTATCACGAAAAACCCCGACTGCATCTCCCATTCCCCATGAAATCATTGCTTAAATCCGGTATTGTTGGATATATATATATTTCACTACATGCTCCATTACATGCCCATCATTTTTGTTGGTTCCCCTACGCAGCACAGTGGTTTCTTCGGGGCCAGAAACGTCGTCAGGTGTTGAATGCCACCGCGATTTGCCTCACCTTCGCGGTCTTTCTCTTTGGCCTGGTCGTCAGCCAGGAACCGCGAGAGAAACGCGAGAGATGGATGGCGGGATCTGTCTCGGGGTTTTGTCTTTGAAAAATCGTGGGCCAACATGGCGTTCTTAGTGTTTTTAAGTCACAGTTCTTGTTCAATGGAGTTCTTTGTTTTTTTTAATGGTTTTGATGTCATTGTATTGAATTGCTTTTAATGGTTGTTTACGTTCCTTTTTACTGGTTCTTAATGGTCTGGTCCTGGCTTTTAAAGCGACAAGGTGGAGCATTTCGAAAAAATATAAAGACCGACGGATGCATCAGCTATTTCGAAAAAATATAAAAATATAAAGACTGACAACTTGTTTGTAGTTGATTTGTGTGTGTGTGTTCAAGTATTTTGGTTTAGGGTGATTTTTAACTTTCTGATTGTTTCTGTTTGCAAG